CTAAGTATTGAAGAAAAGGAATTGTGGGGAATTCCCACTATAGGATAAGCTTCCACCTGTGGTGCCGACATCCTATACAGTCAGCAGCAGTTCATATCCCTGTTGGTCTACTTCCAATCTAGCTCTGCTTATGGCCATGGAAAGCAGGTGAGCATGGCCCCCAATTCCTCGTGCCCCTTCCTGTCACTGTCCCGCAGCGATGGACTTGGTGCATCGAGCCAATAATAACACGCGTGGACCCTGACTGATGGTCAAAGCTGAAGTTTATTAGTGGCATCAGACCTTATATACTGAGGGTTATAATGGGATAAGGGAGGAAGCATTGAGCTCATCAACAAAACCCAGTAACAGTTTCTATGCTTTTGTTTGGAATTCCTTTTGTCTTGTATAATCCACCAAGTGTTCTCACACAAATACTGTCCACTCAACTGTTCTCATATAGGTATACAAAAGGTAGCCATTCGGTTGTTCTCATGCAAATATTATCCAATCAACTGTAATCCTGTGCTCGCTGACCCTCTAGGGTCACAATGTCCTCCTACACCTTCCCTCACGTGGGAGCTCAGGGAAGAAGCTCTGGCTCCTAGCTGTGGCCAGCTCAGCTCTGGCTGCTTTGGCTATTTGGGCAGTAAACCAGTGAATGGAAGTGCTCTTTTACTGTCTCTCTTCTCCATGTAAAGTCTGTCTTTCAAATAAAAATAAATATTGAAAAAGAAAAAAAACACACCAATCATTTTATTTTTAAGCTTTATTTTATCACTCTTATCAAACACACATCAGAAAGCATATCAACAGTGCATCTTATAAGTCAGTTTACAACAAAACTGAACAAGGCAATTGTGTTTACAGGAAAAGTTTTCAGCAAAGTACACAATACAGTCAACTGAAACACAGTGTTCATACTTTGTTGGTATATAGGAAAAGTGGAAAATAAGTCTTTTGCTACTCAGCAAGAAAAGACAGTGAAACACCTGAATGGAAACCAGAAATTTGGGGATTTGAGAAAAGAACTCAATACTGACACATATCTACATTTATAGTCCCACTTATTAAAAATAAAAACAAAAAACCTCACAAACAGTAACACATCACAAAGAATAGAGAACCATAATGCCAAGAAATGCCAAGACCAGTACGCAATTGAAACAACTGGTAGAAATGTTATAAATAATGATTCACTACGCATTGTCATATTCTCGCAGTTCTGAGGTGAAGGTAAACCAATAGGAGAGAATACTCCTTAAAACGGACTTTGGTTTTAAGTGATCTTTCACATTTTTTCTAATCAGACCTTCTTGCCAAAAACATGGTAATTACATGTTACTGAGGGGAAATAGTAATCAACTGTAATATTCACAACCAATCACTACAGTATTAAAACAGGAGGCCATAAGTTTATCATCTACTGATTCCTAAGTGCAATGAAAAGATAACAATAACGAAGCCCTTTTTGAGAGAAAAAGAAAAAATTTCTTCCACCCCAGATTCAAAATTGTCAAAAGGATATAAAGGAATGTTACGTTATTCATGATTTTTCAAAAAACAATTATTAAGAATGAGAGTAAACCCTATTGGAAAAGATGTGATAGCTTTAGACTCTGTAAAATCAATAATCCACAGAAACGTAACCTAATTTACAGATTATAATAATAAATAACCACTACTTAATTTCATAAGGTGCTGTAAATTCGCAGCTAGTGCACACCAATGCCACCCACAGTACCAAAGTGCAAAGGGAAATATGGAGACAGTTAATCTCCACTTCCTTTCTGATCCTTGATTTCATGAATGGTGATGAACATCAAATACACAAAAGCTGAAATTCATTTTTAAAAAAATTGGGCTAAAATGAAAATTGACATTTCATCTGGTTTCAGAAACTCAAATAATTTTTTTTTTTTTTTGGAAACCAATAATGAGGAATGTTTAGAAAAGGCAATGTCTCTATGCTATCTGTACCAAATCCGGCTTTTAAAAAGTAAGTATAATTTTCAGGCCATTAACTCCATGGAAGATTAATACAGAAAGGGAGCCATTTTCTTCTCTCCATCATTCTAACTTGTATCACTTAGCTTTCTCTCCCATACTCAAAACTTGCCAGTCTTCTGACAAACCAGAGAACTCAGTTACTACAGATTTTGAGTTCACCCTGTGGGATTTCAGGACCTCAGCATATTTGCTCTTATACATTCACTGTCCTGATATGGTGATTATCATGAAGGGGGGACAATCCAGAAGAGAAAGGCAATTCCAATGTGGGATTTAAGCAAAGGGAGACTACAATGTTTAGGTAGTAAGCAGCTCTGAGTTTTACATATGAGTTTCTCCAAAATAAACAAAAGAAAAGAAAAATCATAGGCCTCACCCTCCTCCCAGAATGTGACTTATTTTTATTATACATTGTAATCTAATAAAATAAGCTCTCTTCTGCACAACAAAGATTTATGGTCACATAAGACATGTAAGAGAGAATGTTTCTCTGTGTTCGTAAATTAAAATATTTTCACTCTCTGACATGAAATGGCCTTTAAAACAGCCATCAGTTTTCTCTGGCTATTGTGGCAGCATCCTAGTTTGAAGACAAACAGTACCTGCTAAGTTTCCCATGAGTGGTGCCACAAACACAACTTCCACGAACATGACAACTTTCTGTAAAGCACAAATAAAGCAAGCTGAACACAAGTCTATATAAGCAAAACAAAGAAAAAGTGCTGACACATAGGAAAATGAATGAAAACTTCATTATCAGAACCAAGTGTATGTAAACTATGCATCTTACTGAATCAATGACACATTAATGATCCTCTATAAAATATAAAATTTCCTAAATGCTCTGGTTTATACAACTTCTTTTACAGCTCATATCTCTTATAAAATTATAGCAAAAATAGCTAAAATTGTTTACCCTCATCTTAAATCTCCATAGTACTTGCCAGCTGCATGCCACTGGATGAATGTACTGGTCATATTACACAATCTAAAAAAGTGGAAAACATTTAGGGAAGGTGGCTAACATAATTAACATTTTGTATGATATGGCCTCATGTAGAGAAGGAACTTAAAACAAAATCTCTTAAGATTCGGAGTATTCCATAGCTAAAATGTCCATTTCCCGATGATAAGAATGTTCCCCGTAATGGGAACACAGTATCTCATCATCCCGGAGCAGTTACAAGCAACACTGACGTGAAAGACTACCAGCTAAAAATAAAGATGGCTCGTTGAGCACTGTAACAAATGGGAATTCTTCTGAGCTTCTGTGACCAAGAACTGGTCTGAATGAGATCATACTTGGTGAGAACTAAATGTACTACACTAAGAGAGCTAGAGTAATCATATTTGAGGAAGGAATCCAACATGAAAAAATCGAACAAGATCTAAGGAAGAATTAGATTTTTTTCTGCCAGGTAATTCTGGCTTTTCCATCATGCGTAATATTCAAATAAAAAAATCAAATAGGAATAGTTGCACACATTAAAAATATAACAGAGGAAATTATGGACTTTACTATGTGACTTTTTCCAAGTTACACCGAGAAAAAGCCAAAGGTACAGTGACTTTACCACCAACCTGGCAGCTTTTACCCAAATGAGCTTTGATCACTTGCAGGAAACACAAGGCACTTGCTTCAGTCTCTACCTACATATCCAGTAGACTGGAAGTCTAGTGGCAATGCCACCTGTAATCTCAATAAAAGCCATCTGGGGTGTCCCTTTGTGTTAAGAGTCCAGATAAAACCGGTGGTTACTGAGTGTCTCCCTCACTTCCTCACCTACAGACTATGCCAATTGTTATCAATTACCATGGTGCTGTTTTTCACTAAACTATGAAAAGTAAAATGCCTTGTGGCCAAGTATAACTGATAAAAATCATTTAAGGCCCAATTTAATAGTTAGAAAATTAAGCCCAAGAAGATGATGCCAAAATGTTAATCACTTGCTTTTGATGAACGAGCGCAAACGAGCAATAAAAGTGCATCTGGAATGTTCCAGCTCAGTCTTTATCCCCAGAAAAGTAACCGGTGCTGTTAACAGGTTCCAAGTCCAGGACAGTGACACAGAATTCGAGCCTTACACTCGTGGTTCCTGCAACTGTCCCTAGGTACACGGCAGCACTGTTTCTGGCAGGTTGATTTAACAACATAGCTCAGCATTCTCTGGCAGCTACAGTACCAACATGAAGGCAACACTTCTCTGGAGGAAAGCAAAAAGAGACACAAGAAACTATTTATGTTTTTGTTCTAAAAGCAGCCATAAAGTTTGGCTCAAGGTATAGCATAAAAAGAATTTTAAATTCTTTAAAGAGAGTTGCTATACTGATGGTCATACGATAAGGAAGACATTCAGTAGTATTATGTGCGGATCTCTTACTCCAAGAGAAAAAATTGTTTTCCATCCCTTTAAAAGGCGACCGATACTGACTGACAGCGAGTTCTCCCCACTGCGGTGCCCGACTACTTGCTGCTTTTCTCCAGTTTTGGTGAGGCTAGCTAGCCACCTTCTCCAAATATATTTTTAAAGAAGGAAAGATTTTTCTAAAGAATAATTACTTCATATGATTTTTCTGGGGCAAGATGTGCTGCAGCAAACCATGGAACAATGAAGAAAAAACTGGGAAGGTGACAGAGAAGGAAGCACATTGATTAAGTAAAGAAAAACTACCTGAGATAAAGGTTTCCCAAAAGAGTAGGGGTCAGGTGACAAGAATTCTCACTTTTTCATCTTTTCTCTCAATTAGGAAATGTCTAAATTTTCACTAACTTCAGGGCATCAAAATCTCCATGAACAGATTTTATCCCCAAAGATTCATTGCATTTCTTGGTAATATTTGGTTCAAATTTAAGAAAGACATGAAGATTAGACTTCTGAAAATATCAGAGAAGGGAAATAAAATCTACAAATGTCATCTTTGGTAAAAGGGACTCAGAGCTATAAAAGGAAAATCTAAATCATAGGATTATACATTAAACACTAAGGGTTTAATATGGGTTCATCAGTTACTTCCTCAGTTGCCTTAACATCTAGCTAGCATCTTTTATATTAAAATCCTACAGTGTTAAACATTACATATATGTATGAATACATCAGCAATTAGATGATCAAAGAATGCTGTTAATTTCAGCATTAATGTTAGCAGCACACTGCAGGACTAAGCTCAGAAGCCTAACTGCAGTTTATTTGCAAGGATTTCTATTTTGGGATAGGAGAGGAGAGGAAATTGGGGGTGGGGTAGAGGAAGGTAAACATGCTAACTTAGAATATTTGCCCTTAAAAAATTAATTTGTACTCTGTATTCACCAATATGTCTGTAAGGACCTGATGTTTTTAATCACCACAGAAGCTGTTACTTACGTTTCAGGAACGCTTAGGTCTCCATAACTGATTCTACATACTTGAATCTTGACTTGAAAGCAAATCAACTAATCAAACTCAGAATGCTCCAAAAGAAAGAATAGTAGTTCTTCCTTCTACGGGCACAAATTGAGGACCATGCTACGAGATCCTTTGGTAATTCATCAATCAACTTTCTTATTCTGAATCAGGCTTTACAGTAAATATTAAGGGAGACTTCTAAATAATTGGCTATCTGTAAGTAATATCAAAAAGGATAAACAGAGACTTCATGGAAAGGATAAATAATTCATTCTCCCATCCAAGTACTAACCAGGCCCAACCCTGCTTAGCTTCTGAGATCAGATGAGATCGGCACATTCAGGGTGGTGTGGCCGTAGACCATTCATTCATTCTCTAAGAGGTAAATTCTAGCTGGGTTCTTGGTGACTTGTGTGACACACAAGGAAAGATTCTATGAGGAGGCTTTCAGCAGGGAAAGATATATAGGACTTTTTCCTTAGGAAAAAAATAAATAGAAATACCATTCAGACAATGAAACAGGAAAAAATTCATAACCTGAATATACCTTGTACTTTTTCTGTATAATCAGTGCTTTATCAAGGTTTCCTAATGGTAACATTTTTAAACAAAATCTGCCAGAGACTAAGAGAATACGTGCCTAGAATTCTTAAATGTGATCACTCTATGTCCATGAGCTCGTGACACCTTAGATCGCTATGAATCCTTCTAAGATTTCTTTGACTTTTTCTTCCTTTTTACTTCCCCTTTATTCTAAAAGTACCTGCGTTAACCTCCTTACAGTTAAAGCCATACCACGGTGGATATGGTTCCCCTCGTTTCTCTTCAGCTTAGGATAGAGGCAGAGAACTGGCAGGAAAAGTGAGTGGTTAACGCTGGATGACAGCCAGAGACGGGAAGAAAAAAAAAAGAATCCCTATTTCCCCCCTCTTTTCCTTTTCCCTTTACTGTGTATCTCTTTTTTCTTTCCTTTTGATCCGCTGTAATTACCCATTATGGTAAGCTGAAGTGCGTTTTGCGAAATCGCACAATTGTAACAGAAGATTCCAGATGAGGAGTATGTGCCAATACAGAGTCTGAAAGCGGACTGGGGCACGGGCTGATCCACATGCAGCATCGATTTTCTGGTCCAATCACTTCTGAGAGTTTCGATGCAACCCCAGTCTAGACTCCAGCTTGTTCTCAGCCTCTCAGGAATGAACTGTTGCGTCATTTACATGTTCTAGCAGACAGACCAATTCTCAAAAAAAAACATAACACCCTAAATGTTACAGACAAAAAACAGGTAGGAAGGAGATGAATATGGACTGCACTAACTTAAGACTCACACTGTAAAGTATACTGACTCACGTTTTCTCCAACTTCCACACCTGCACACTCATTCAAACTTACACACGAGACATAAAAATTGTGCAAGATCAAGCATCAGCTTTCTATTTTAAAAGGCTTCATTAAAAAAAAAGGTAGATAGGCTCACTGCAGTTTCTTTAAAGGAATATTCAGTACTACAGTACTCCTTTAAAAAAAATTCACAACTGGGTATTAAGAACACAGTAGGTTACTGTTGCTTGACAATTACTTAACATCACTGAGAGCATCCAGTGCCAGCTACAGACATGAACTGTAAGAACCACCTGACAACATTAAATAATCTCTAAGTGATGGTACCAGCCCTAACAAATTTGTTAATATTCACTATGACGTATTATTCATCCTTGTTTCATGATCACAAGAAATAATTAAAATTTCAGGTTACATATTGAGGAGCAGCACTTGCCCTACTGCACAGGAAAACAAAGGGTTGCCCACATGGATGCTCTAACCCCTCAATGTATAGCTGAGAGGTCTTATCCTACTCAGTGCCAAATGTTGCAATGCAGTCACTGCTGGGACAATGGCTGCATATTCAAAGGATTAAATAAATGTACAAAGTACCTCCTTAAAATGGTAAAGGGGTACTATTGCATTCAGCTGTGGAGTAGTATAACCCAGGAAATGGAAGAGTTCCAGAAACAGGAAGTAGTCCTTAGGTTACGGATTAAAGCAACGTCTGATACAGATATCCCCTCTTGTAGGCACTCAGTGGGTAGAATGTAGCCACGACAAACTTCCCATCAAACATCCTTCCGGTCAGCAATTTCTGAGCGGCTTTGGAGTCACCAGCATTGGCATACTCAACAAAGACCTGAAAGAGGACAGAGCAAAGGAGGTAATTCCATTTCCACCAAGACTGTTCAGTAATGTACAAGCCTGTGTGTGTGAGCATGTGGGGATCTTGTCCAAATGCAGACGTTTTCAAATCTGACCCCTTTAAATGTACTGTCAATATTGATGGACCAACATATTCCAGGGCAGCACGATTTAGAATACTTCCTGAAAACTCAATCCAAATCTGAAACCCATCAAGACATGGTGCTTAATCTGTCACTTGGGACACCCATCTCTGCATGAGCGTGCTGGCATTGGAGGACCATCTCCACTGGTGTTTTGAGCTCCCAGCCAATGTACTCTGTGAGGTGGCAGATGATACTGTGGCCCTGTCACTCACTTCAGACTGCTCAGATCTAGCTGTCACAGCACTTGGTGAAGGAACCAACACATGAAGATTTCTCTTTCCTCTGTGTCTCAAACATAAAATTGAAAAACCTTTACAGGCAAGTAGAACAGAAACCATGCAACCTCTTGCCAAGTTTAAACAGAAGTGACAACCACTTCTAAGATGCTTCCCTGAAGAGTTTAGAAAGCAACTGCATCTCAAAAATGTCTCAAAAATAAATTGCACCTTTAAAAGACAAAAATACTGACCAAAAGCAACTGGTCTACACAGGATTTATAGAAAATAGAAATCGTAACTGCAGTAAGAAGTTTAAAAGTAGTACTATCATGTCTGCATCTGAATTCCTAACAGAGCCAGAGAAAGGATATTGAGTTGTTTTTGTTAATCTAAATCTGAAGTTACAGAAACATGAGATGATTTGAAAGGACTTGTCCTCGGTTAGGCTCAAAGCTGGGCAATGAGTGATGAACTGCCTCTGCCTTCACAGCTGTGTGCCTTATTCCTGACATCTAACGGGGGTCTGAGCATCCTAGGCTAGGCAGAGGCTTTCCAGTGGAATACAAGAACAGAACATTTTAAGGAAATAAATTTTCAGATCTTTCGTCGTATTCCTAAAACTGATCTCCCTAAATTCAGGCAGGATATTCCTTTTCAATTTCCCTATTCAGAGTACCCTTCTCTCACTGGACAAAACAAAGAGCTGTGGTTTTTGTTTTTTAAAGATTTACCTACTCTGTTGGAAAGGTAGATTTACAGAAACGAGACACAGAGAGAAAGATTTTCCATCCCCTCAAGAAAGATTTTTTCATCCCTAAAGTAGCCACAATGGCTAGAGCTGAGCCAATCTGAAGCCAGCAGCCAACGAGCTTCTTCCTGACTCCTCCTATGTGGGGAACAGGGTCCCAAGGCTTTGGGCCATCCTCTACTACATTCCCAGGCCACAAACAGGGAGCTGGATGAGAAGCAGAGCAGCCAAGATACAAACGAGCGCCCACACGGTTTTCCGGCGGTTGCAAGGCAAGGATTTACCCATTGAGTTATTACGCCAGGGCCCAAAAGGTTTCTATAGGGTATTAAAAACTTCCAGGGCTCAAAAACAAGAGGCATTTGATAATACAGTAAAGAATTTTTCATGGAATCCTTCACTGATAAATAAAGCTCCCTGCCCTACCTATGACATGGGCACTCTTACATAAATATTTCTGTTAAGCCTGCCAGGATATTCTGACCTGCAATGGGATTTTCTGAAAGGATGTATCAAAAACTTTGCGAAAACAAGTAATGGTCATTGTCTACATTCACACTAAGATACGGTCTTTTTTTTTTTTTTTTTAACTTGTTAAGTTTCTCATCTGGTGAATCATTAAGCCTTTACATTGTAAATTAAAAAAATATTATGCTGAAAATTTTAAAAAAGGAATGGGAAGGAAGAAGATAATATTATATTCTTAGAATTATATCTAAGAACTATATTGAATCTGTTAAAATCTGTTAAATAAGAATACAAAAATAATTTTTTTAAAGAAAAGGTTGAGTTTATATGGATTCCACAAATGTTTAAATCTGTGCATAATTTTCTTAGACTTTTTTTAAATTTGAAAAGCAGATTTAGAGTGAGGGGAAGGACAGATCTTCTATCTGCTGGTTCACTCTCCAAATGGACACAATGCCAGAGCTGAGCCAGTCTGGAGCTGGGATCTGGAAGTTTCTTCTGGTTTTTTCATGTGGGCTCAGGGACCCAAGGCTTGGGGTCATCCTCCAGTTTTCCCAGGTCATTAGCAGGGAGCTGGGTTAGAAGTGGAGCAGCTGAGGCTCAAGTCAAATGTGATGCTGGACCCTGCGTGGAGGATTAGCTTACAACACCACCTTTAAATGTCAGTAAGTTTCCCAACAGCGTTCCGTGTTCCAAATAAAATTGATTGTTAACATTAATATTATCTCACCCTGACAGCCCTTGATTGAGAACCTCCTAATATCCTTTTGTTGAAGTTCAAAGTCATTGTTGCCGCCATGCCTACAAAGCTCTCACTCTATCTGATCTTCCTAGCCACCCCTTAACCTCCTCTTTGAGCTTACCACCTATTCTTCTTCCCTTTTCTCACTCTGCTACAGCCACACTAACCACAATACACAGTAACACAAGGCATACTCAGGGCCTTGAAATTTGGTGCTCCTTTTGTCTAGAATTTTCTTCTTAATTCCTATAAACCTTGACTCCAAAGTAACCTCTTAAGTGTGTCCTTCCCTACTATCCTAATTATTATTATTTTTAAAAAGATTTATTTATTATTTATTGGAAAGTCAGATATCCAGAGAGGAGGAGAGACAGAGAGGAAGATCTTCCATCTGATGATTCACTCCCCAAGTGAGCGCAATGGCCAATGCTATGCCGATCCAAAGCCAGGAGTCCCAAAGCTTTGGGCTGTCCTGGACTGCTTTCCCAGGCTACAAGCAGGGAGCTGGATGGGAAGTGGAGCTGCCGGGATTAGAACCGGCGCCCATATGGGATCCTGGGGAGTTCAAGGCGAGGACTTTAGCCTCTAGGCCACGCTGCAGGGCCCTACCCTAATTATTTTTTAAAATGTTTTTTCTTACCACCCTACTTGAAAGCACAATACACCCCACCACAGCACGCCTTACGCCTCTTCCTCAATTTGTTTCTTGCTACAGCACTTACCACCAGATATAATTTTCCACTCTGATTTCTGCTATGTAACTATTGCCTATAAAATAAGACACTTAATATACTTATAATAATGATTTGCTAATTTATATTTAATAAATGTAAACTTATTAGCAGCCAAAAAACCATTTACAATGCTTCTAATGTCAGATGAAATAAATGATTTAGTACAACACTAGCAATAACTTTACAGTAAGACCAGAATAAAATTTCTTTCATATTTTTTCAGTTGCCAATAATTTCCATAGCTCTATTAAGATGAAATAATAATGTACAGGGCTGATGTGGTGGCACAGCACACTAATCCTCCATCTCCGCAGCACTGTCATCCCTTATTAGCGCAGGTTTGAGTCCCAGCTGTTCCACTTCTAATCTAGCTCCCTGCTAATGGCCTAGAAAAGCAGCAGAGGATGACCCAGGCCCTTGGGCCCCTGCTCTTACATAGGAGACCCAGAAAAAAGCTCCTGGATCCCAGTTTTGGACCATCTCAGTTTTGGCTATTATGGTTGTCTAGGGAATGAACCAGCAGATGGAAAATCTCCACCTCTCCTTCTCTCTTAACTGTTTCAAGAAATAACTCTAAAGACTTAAGTAATACCTGGCAGGGTGGCCTAGTGGCTAAAGTCCTCCCCTTGAACTCCCCAGGATCCCATATGGGCGCCAGTTCTAATCCCGGCAGCTCCACTTCCCATCCAGCTCCCTGCTTGTGGCCTGGGAAAGTAGTCGAGGACGGCCCAAAGCCTTGGGACTCAGCACCTGTTTGGGAGACCGGAAGGAGGTTCCTGGCTCCTGGCTTCAGATTGGCACAGCACCTGCCGTTGTGCTTACTTGGGGAGTGAATCATCGGACGGAAGATCTTTCTCTCCCTCCTCCTCTCTGTATATCTGACTTTGCAATAATTAATAAATAAGTAAATCTTCTATAAAAAAAAATCTTAAAAAAAAAAGCTGAGAAATCATCAAAACACTAGTCACACTCAAGTGAGAACTGAGACTCCAGGTCTGGCAATCCAACACACTTTCCTTCTTATCACTAACGATTTCTATTACAGTCAAAACCTCATCTAACTGGCTTTTTTATCTGCACTAAATCAGAACAAAATTTGACTGAACTATTTCTCTAGCCGAACTTGACCGAAATTAGCATGATTTTCAGAGTGGCTCAAAATTAGAACACTATAAAACAAAAATAAAATTTAAATGATAAACATGCATGTGCATCTGAGAATTTTTGCAAAACTAAAAGCACAGAAAATGAAAATAAAACGAAAATCATCTTTGAGGTACAACTTCTAGTGCTTTTGTGCATATATTTCTGTGTAAGCAAGACATTTAGCACAGTGTGTCTAACAGCTTTGGTAATTCTGCATCATGGAAACCTCCACTTACTTGCCCTCTGCCAGGATTCTCTTTTGGAACAAGCAGAGACACCACTGGTCCATATTTCTGACATTCCTCTTTTACATCTTCCACAATATCTGTTTATTAAAAGCACAACATCAATCACACTGATTTAATAAAAAAGCATTACTTTTAAAATTTTTCAGTTATCAAAGAAATCAGGCATATGAGCTTAAGCAAAAAAAAAAAATTAATAGGAAAATAAAAAAATAAATAAGGTCATACATGCAAAAAAATTCTGAAATCTGTACTTTGTTTTTCATAACATGTCTTCTACGAACTCTGAAGATCCCTCATATTGACTTTCAAACTCTTTTATACAATAAACTTTCTAATTCCACTTTTTCATGTACTTCTTAAATGTCTTCATATATATCTTTAACAATGAGATTATTTTCTATTTTCATTTTCTGTATCTCTAAAATTAAGTTTAATCATTTCATACTTTCCATATTTCACACTTAATATTTTTAAACAGCTGACATATTCCAATGATTCAAAATTTTACCTCCCCAACTGTCACATCATCCTTCTTAATGGCAATCAACATGATCGGTTTCTTGCGTATGCTTCTATAAAAACTTTAAGTTTATACAAGTAAACACAACTGCCTTTTCCAATTCTAATAGAATGACTGCTTTGCCTTTTATGATGTCTTAAAAGTTTTTTTGCATTCCTTTACTCACAAGAGGATTAACAAATGTTTTCATCACTGCCATAATATTGTAATTGGATTTTAATTTGTATTTTTGTAAGACTGAAAACTAAGTATGGAATGTGTTTGTACTCCCTTTAACCATGCTGGAAATTATGAATTTTTTTTTATTGCTTCTAAGCTTTGTGTTACTTTTGAAAAGGTTTTGCATGCTCCAGGAATATATATTTTTTAAAATGCCCTGATATTTTATTACATTTATAAAACAATATCCCTTTTTTTTCTTCCCTTCACTATTTCATTTTCCTCTTTAAAAAAAAATTTAATCTTTATTTAATTTGATATTTTGATGTGTAACATTTGAATTAACATTTGAAGCTAATATCCTCGTTTGCCCCATTAAGACCTTAAGACAGCCATTCAATCACATATACTAATTCAAGCTAAGCAAGCTTACTTAAAACAACTAAATATTATTTCATGGTTTTCCTGCTAACCACAACAAAGATGTTGTACATTATCTGTTGCACTTAAGTTTATATAAATTTCTTAAGCACAAGGAGTACTATTTAGAGAAAATCTACTCAGTAAATCTGAAGCAGAAAAAAGTATAACATAGCAATGTTATAAAAAAAAAGGAAGACACAATCATTGTTAACCAGCAAAGCTGAAAGTGTTGTAGAGCTAAAGCTTAGCAACAGCATAGAGAATGAGCTGATAAAGACCATGGACCTCACAGCATGTTCACTTGATTCCTAGGGATCATTTAGATCCTCTGAACCTTTGAGATCTGATTAAGAAAATGCTGAGGACAAGACTACTCTTTTCAGGTAAGTTAAACAGCCTAAAAATCAAGAGGACTGAATTCCTCATAATGGTAAGAGACCCAAGAAGACACCCTGGTACCAGGCAGTAGATATTTACCCTAAAGCTCAGGGACATGAAATGATTCACTGGTACAAGGGGTAACAGGGTAAAATCTGTAAACTGTAAAAGGTCTTAAATAAAACAGGGTAAAATAGCTTAAATAAAACAGGGTAAAATAGGTCTTAAATAAAATAGGGTAAAATAGCTTAAATAAAATAGGTAAAATAGGTCTTAAATAAAACAGGGTAAAATAGCTGTAAAAGGTCTTAACTTTTACAAGAACATTATTAAGTAACTGATATGTTTAAATAGAAATACCAAAGTGCTGCAGAGAGATTTAAATATTCAACTCTCACCCCTTCTTCTCATAGTTATGCACGTCGTTACACTAGGTACAGTGATTTGTGGTGCATTATTCTTCCATTTTTTCTTTCTTCAATCAATATTTATCAAACGCCTACTATGTGTTGGGTGCTGTGACTACAGCAATTGTATACAGAACATTACAACTGTAACACAAAATATTAGTCCTGAATGTACAAACCTGCTAGCTACTAACAATACTTAAAATCTGCTGATTGTCACTTGCCAGGCATTGTTCTAAAAAGTCTTTATTCCTAATCAAATTTTTTTAAATTAGTAAAAAAAAAATCTTTGTAAAATAACTTACTTAATTTTCACAACCTTATGAAACATGTCCTAATTATTCTCTGCATTTTACAGATGAAATAACAGCAAAGCAGCTGGTTAGGGACAGAGAAAGAATGTAACCTCAGTCTACACTCCTAACAGTTACACAAACACTGCTCCAGCAGTCTCTTGCATTAGTACTGGGATGATGGATGTGTTTTAACTGGTTCTCAAAGCCAAGTCTGGTCCTATATTAGTCCATTCACTACCACTCTGCTTTCAGAATGATTCTACTAATGTGCAAGATTGACTATTACCACTCTATTATATCCAATAAAAATTAGTGTTTAATTATGCATTTATCACACACTAGTGACTGTTCTATGCCTTGTGTAAAGTTCTTTTATACTGAGAACCTTACTGACAGGTGACTCTTCTGGCACATCAGCATTGAGTTCAGGAAGTACAGACCTTCATACTCCTCTTCGTTCTCCAGATAATCGTCATCCAGCACGTTGAGCAGCCTTAGCACTGGAGTAGGCAGCATCACCAGATCTTCGATGTGAGGGGCTGCCAGAAAATCAGGGCAGGGTTAAATGGGAATCCCATACAAACTCACCAACAGCAGACAAGGGTTTAAAGATAACTAACAAGTGAGTTCTGATGTCTTATTTGGTTGTCAAATGACCAAGGGGGGGGGAGCAGGGAAGACAAAAAAATACAACTTACCAAAAGGAATGCTAAAGAATGGACTGCACAATGCCATTTCAGCAGGAATTCTTCTGCTTGGGTCATCATGAAGCATGCTAAAATACAAAACCAGGAACTTTTACAAATACTCTTCAATCTTTTGAGAACATAACTAGCAAAAAAAATGCTAATGTCTAAATGGTCACCATAGCATTCATTATATTAGCATGATGTATTAGATTATTAGATCATTTACCTGTAGAAAAAATAACTTAAGAGTAAATAACTCAGTAAGTCATGATTTATATCTGTGTCCCAGTAGCAAATATTAATTTAATATAATGCTTTCAGTTAATAAAATGACGTGTGAAAGTGATCTATCCTCTGGAAAGCTGGGTGAGAAACTCTGGATGCAGATTTAGAACTCTCCACACAAAACAAAAAGCTAGTGGACAGATGACTGCTGAATGTTGTCAAATAATAAAGCAGCTAGGTAGCAAAGCCGAAAACCTATGGGCATCTTAAAGAAAAAAATACAGGCAAATCGTGAATGGCACTAAGGTTTGTGCCTGATATGTATCTTTTTGTAAAAGCGCAGAGAAAAGCAACAGCTGATTTAATGAACCAGAAAACATAACCCCAAAAATATCAAAAGCACTCACTAGGAAACAGGAGAAACCAATTTCAGAAAAACAGGCAGATTTATGAGGGAAGTTACAGATTCTAACACCAGATGAATACACTGTGGGTCTGTATAATCTGAAGTAATCTAGACAGCAACACCTCTTGAAACTGATCAGTCACCTCTCTTCTAGCACGAATCCCACAGAGGAAGCCCTGGAGATAAAATCCAAATTGAGGGCCTGGCACAATGGCTCAACTGACCAATCCCCCCCTGCAAGCACCGGGATCCTATATGGACACTTGTTTGTGTCCTGGCTGCTCCATATCCCATCCAGCTCCCTACTTGTGAACTGGCTGCAGTGGTCCTTGAGGCCCTACATCCACGTGGGAGACCGGGAAGAAACCCCTGCTCTTGGCTTTGGATCAGCTCAGCTCCTGCTGCTGTGGCCACTTGGGAGTGAACCAGCAGATGGAAGATCTTTCTGTCTCTCCTTCTCTCTGTAGATCTGTCTTTTCAATAAAAATAAACAAATCTTTAAAAACAAGTCCAAGCTCAACAGGACAGGTAAACATGTGAAAGCAGACGGGGAGGGGAACACAGCTCTCAGAAGAAAGAACCTTCCTTAATAAGACAAAACACAAGAACAGGAAAGGAAGCCCCACAGGTGAGTGAGTCAAAAAGTTTTAGAAAGATGTAAAGAAAAGATAAGTTCAATTTGGCACCAAAAAGAGCCAAAGTTGCCAGATGGAGTACTTGGCCCCTGGCACACAAGTGGGAGCACAGGACTGAATTCCCAACACCGGCTGTCGCCTGACCCAGCCTCAGCTGCTGCAAACATTTGAGGATGGAATCAGTAGATGGGAGATCCTCTCTGCCTTTCAAAAAAAAAAAATAAGTTAATGATTCATCTAAAAAACATGCACCATGTCTACACCTACACAGGACGCTCAGGTAACCACATGGTATGAATAAGTCTTGGCAGAGGCATGAGACTTACTAAATAAATACATTTAAAAAAATCTGTTTCATGGGCCCGGTACGTTGGCCTAGTGGCTGGGATCCTCACCTTGCATGCACCAGGATCCCATATGGCCGCTGGTTCTAATGCCGGCAGCCCTGCTTCCCATCCAGCTCCCCGCTTGTGGCCTGGGAAAGCAGTCGAGGACAGCCCAAAGCCTTGGGACCCTGAGTAACCTAGAGACCTGGAGGAGGATCCTGGCTCCTGGTCTCAGACTGGCATGGCTCCAGCCATTGTTGCCGCTGGGGGAGTGAACCAGAGGATGGAGGATCTTTCTGTGTCTCCTTATCTCTATAAATCTGACTTTCCAATAAAAATGAACAGATCTTATACAAAATCCTGTTTCATGCAAAAATAAACAAAAATAAAAATCATAATAAACTTCTGCAAACAAAGAAAAACAACTTCTCAGTGAATGCTTTTGGAGAAAGATTTCTATCTACTGGTTCATGCCAAATGACCACATTGGCCAAGTCTGAGCCAGGAGCTAGAAACTCCATCTTGATCTCCCCAAGTGGCTGGCAGGGACCTAATGCACTGGGGCCTCTTCTGCTGCCTTTCAAGTATATTACCAAGAAGCTGTATTAGAGGTGGAGCATTTGGGATTTGCATCTGAACTATGATATGGAATGCTGGTGCCACAGCAGCAGTTTAACCTCTGTACCACAACCTGGGCTGCTACAGTTAAATGTGGAAGATTAAATGAGTGCTAAAACAGACAATACATAATGGCTACATAATCTGATTCATGCAACTCCAACTACTTTTAAAATGGAAAAATGGTAAGAGCACACAGAGAAATAATGCAATTTTAAGTAACCTTAGAGTACTGCTACACTGAGACTGCTTACTTCCCAAACATTGGCAAGAGCCCGGGCTGAGTCAGGCTGAAGCTAAGAGTCAGGGAGCAAGTGTCTGAACCATCGCCTGCTGCCTCCCAGTGTGTGCCGCTGAGACAGGACTCAAACCCCGGTACTCCAACATGGGAGTATTACAAGAGGATTCTAACCTGTTGTGTCCAAAGCCCACCCCTAGTGAATGGCAAATTAAGCCATTGTTTGCCATGCGGGCATCCTGTATCCGAGTGCCAGAACACTAGTTCGAGTCTCAGCTGCTCCATTTCTAGTCCAGCTCCCTGTTAATGCACCTGGGAAAGCAGTGAAGGAAGGCCCAACCTGCTGGGCTCCTGACAACCACAGGGAAGACCTGGATGGAATTCTGGCCTTCTAGCACCGCAGCATTTGGGAAGTGAACTAGCAGATGGAAGATCTTTTTCTTTCTCCTTCCCTGACATTCTGCCTTCCGTATAAATGAAACAAATCTTTACAGATCTTTACAAATATCCACCCTGATAATTGTATTAGCTGTTACTAACTCATAAAAAAAGATACCCCTACATGGGCCTCCTTTCAAAAGACTAACCTCATCCTTCCTCCACAAAGATTAATCACCTATCGTCTTGCCCTCACCCAAAAGAATCCTCTAGACAGAACTACAACTTAGAGAATTTAAACAGCAACATGTTAAACTGGGTAGTCAGTTGCAACACAGCAGGTAAGACACCACTTGAGAAACTTACACTCCACACTACAAGGCCTGGTTTAAATCCTGGCTTCACTCCCAATTCCAGCACAGGTACCTGGATCCCTGTCATGTACAGGGGAGTTCCTGGCCCTGCCTCAGCTGTGACAGACACTGGGAAATGAACAGTCAATGGAAGATGTCTGCCTTTCTCTTCCCCCTCACACCCACAAGGGACAAAAAAAAAAAAAAAAAAAGGTAAGCACCACCATGATGATACAATCAGCCAAACAGAGACTATGGAGCACCAGAGTCAACAACCAGGTTGTCACAAGGGAAAAACAGGTGAAAGAGATGGAAGCGGACACTTTAGCAAAGAGATTTATGGATGTCTTTTTCAGGAAAGCAGAACTACAGCACAGTGTTTAACAATGCAGACTTAAGTAATACAATTGTAATAGAAAGCAAGTCATTATGGTAGAAGCAATGTTTATTTTTAAGAAGAAAGAAGGGGCTTCGGATTGGGTAAGACACATCTGGGATTTCTGAGAAGGCTATCAAACTTGTAGCTTCTCACCCTAAGGATGACACAAGGCAGTTACAGTGTTTCTGAGTTACACATTTGTTTCACCTGCATTTTTAGTATGTATGTATGTTTAATTTTACAACTTAAAAAATGGTTCAAACACTTAAGCATGCATAAACTAAATTATGTGCATGAAAACACTGAGAGCACACTGAAGTGCTAACCCCACTTTTATTTTCTTCATCATTATGCTCTCTACTTTTCCAGCTTAATCATATCTGTATAGTTGGGGATCAGAGGCAAGGAAGTCATTCTTTAAAAAAGTCTAGATTGGAACATTGGCTCAAAAGGCTAATCCCCTGCCTGTCACACCAGCATCCAATATGGGAACCAATTCATGTCCTGGCTGCTCCATTTCCTGATCCAGCTCCCTGCCTGGGAAAGCAGCAGAGGATGGCTCAAGTCTTTGGATCCCTAAACCTATGTGGGAGACCTGGAAGAAGTTTCTGCTCCCAGCTTCAGACTAGCCCATCTCTGGCCATTCAGCTATTTGGGCAATGAACCAGTGGATAAAGGGTCTCTCTGTCTCCCTCTCTCTTTGTAACTGACTTTTCAAGTAAAATCAATAATTTTTAAAAAAGCAAATACTAGAACTGAGAGGATCTTATTTACAGTCTAGAATCCATTAATGTAATTTTACACTGCCTCTTCCTCGATGTGAAATGTGATTTGATTTCCAAAGTCATTCAGATACTAACATCTATTTAAGACTAATATGAAACACACACACACAAATAACTACATCTATATGTAGAACTGTTCAGATTTAAATAGAGGCTACACACTGTACCATCATTAACTCACTGGTTTTTATACTGTACTACAATAATGCATAAGTGTCCACTGGGAGAAAACTAGGTGAAGGGCAAAGACCTCTTTGTAACATTTTTGCAATTTCTTGTGAATCTGTAACTATTTCAAAACAGAAATTAAGGGTCTGGAGAGATGGCTCAACTGGCCAATCCCCGCCCTTGCAAACGCCAGGATCCCATATGGGCACCAGTTTGTGTCCCAGCTACTCTACTTCCCATCCAGCTCCCTGCTTGTGGCCTGGGAAAGCAGAACAGGATGGCCCAAAGCTTGGGACCCTCCACCTGTGTGGGTGAACCATAGAGGCTCCTGGCTTCGGATCAGATCAGCTCCAGCTGTTGTGGCTATTTGGAGCATGAACTAAAGGAAGAAAAGATCTTTCTCTCTGTCCTTTTGTTTCTGTAACTGCCTTTCCAATAAAATAAATAAATCTTTGAAAAAAAAAATCAGACATTAAAAGAAACCTGATTTTAAAACTTTGGAGCCAATTAAAAAAAAAAAGAAACATACTGTTGACTCAACCGAGGACTCTACCCTTTTGCAGCATAATAGTAATTTTTATTCCCTTCTACTTCAACACGCTAGAAGTCTGAAAAAAAAATCGACAATCTGACTATATATTATTTTTACTTTAAAAAATATTAGTATACTTGGATCTATTCAGGTATCAAAGCTTATGACTGCTCCCTGGGAATTTCCAGTGGTAATTATTTGTAATGTAATTTTACTTTTCTAGAAAGATGTGTTTTCTTGAAAACTTACTTGAAAGGTAGGGTTACAAAGATAGACATGAAAATAAGGAGAGATCTGTCATCCATTGGTTTACTTCCCAAATAGCCAAAATGGCAGGAACTGTGCCAAACTGGAGTGAAGAGCCAGGCACTTCTCTGGGTGCAGGGGCCCAAGCGTGTGGGTCCTCCTCTGCTGCCTTCCCAGGAGCATCAGCAGGGAGCTGAACTGGAAGTAGAGCAGCTGAGACATGCAAAGTGCCTCATAGGGTGCAGGAGAGACAGGGGACACTTAATCCACTACATCAGAGACACAGGCCCCAACAGCACAATTTTAAAAACTACCGTATTCAAATAGTTTTTTTTGTAATCCAAAAGAAAATTTAGCCTATAATTAATATTCCTTTAAGAAACAAGGCTATAGCACTGCAGAGCTATAAGTTTAAATATGGCCTTGCATTCACACTCAACACACACGGATCACAAAGGGCTTAAGAAGCGGGTATTTACACAGTTACCATATAAACAAACAAAAAATTTCTCTGAAAATAAATTTTGAAAAACCACTTATTATTTTCCTTAAAGAAGATACAGTAGCTAAATGAAATTTTGTATTTCTAGAGGAGCAAAATCTCTACATAATCGAACAGGCCAGAAATACAGAGACAGCATCCTGTCACACGGGAGACGTACACAGACCGAGCTGACCGTACATGACACGCACCTTTTGATAAGGTCTCTTAGGTGATAAGCTGGAATTGCGGCATTCACCACTGCTTTGCTGGCAAATATGTGATCAATAATAGCAGAACTGTTTGCCTGAAAGAGAGAGAAAACTCTTCGATCACTGTAATCAGTGCACAGGTGTCACAGGCATGCAGCAGGCTGTCCCGAGGGTTTATAATCCTGCCAGAGGAGACTATATACCCTAACACAAATCTAGACAGGAAGGCCATTTTCTTTCCACATTCTTCTCACACGGTGCCTGGCACTCCCAACAGCTACTGGAGGAATCCATTCAAACCAAAGCCATCACATAAAAAATGTAGCTTAAATCAAAACAAGAAACTGAGTATGTAATACGTGAAGCAAGGTCTTCAATTAGTTTTCAAGTGAAAATCCACCATCAACGAGGCAACGGGGGAATTCTAAAGCTCTGCATGTGTCACATTCTTTAAATCCAACATCCTCACACACTGCAGTAATCTTCCCCAGTACTACGCTCACTCAAAAACGTCGCTTAACAGGACAACTCTTTAAATAACTAATACTTCATATCAAAACCAAAACTAACTGCAAAGCACTGCACAAGGCCTACAAGATACTGACACCACCACAACATTAAGACCCCTTTACTATGGTTAATTCCCTTCCTATAAACCTACAAACAGTACGTTCAGATATCAGAGATCCGCGACTTTGATCCTGTGTCCTCAGAGTGGTCACTGTGGAATTCATTCACACATGGAGTACAAATGAACTGAAACTATGGAAAGAATGCTAAACTCTGAGGAGGAGGAACAGAATTCAGGACGCAATTCCGGAACAAGCTTCTTACCACTGCTCCCAGCTCTGCATTTACAAAACAAAAATAATCAACAGCCATTCTATCCTCTCAGAGTTACTGGAAGGGTTCAGTGAAAGTGTCCATTAAAATGCTTTCCTTTCACTGTACAGGTGACACAGTTATAGAGAGAGACCTCAGGAGGAGACGGAGAACCTGGAATCCTCCATCAGAATCAGCACAAACCAGGTGCCTTGAATTGGCAGTAAAACCCCAAGGTCGGGCCCAGCGCCATGGCCTAACAGCTAAAGTCCTCGCCTTGAATGGCCGGGATCTCATATGGGCGCTGGTTCTAATCCTGGAAGCCCCACTTCCCAACTAGCTCCCTGCTTGTGGCCTGAGAAAGCAGTCGAAGACAGCCCAAGGCCTTGGGACCCTACATCCACGTGGGAGACCTGGAAAAGAGGATTTGGGTTCCTGGCTTTGGATTGGCGCAGCACTGGCCGTTGTGGACACTTGGGGAAGTGAATCATTGGACAGAAGATATTTCTCTCTGTCTCTCCTCCTCTCTGTATATATCTGACTTTGCAATAAAAATAAATTAATCTTCAAAATAAATTAATCTTCAAAAAAAAAAAACAAACCCAAGGCCAACACTGGGCCAGTTTACCTTCCATTCCTGAGATCTGACTGTGTGTTTCAGTTTCATTCCTGAGAACATTTCCAGTAAAATGATTCCTAGGCTCCACAGATCAACAGCTGAGGTACACTCTGTATCGCTCTGCAGGCCAGCCTGGGCCAAACAATTCTGTAGTTCGGCTTCTGGAGCACGATACCCGTCTGTCTGTATGTACTTCACGTCCTAGAAAAGACAAGTGAGGGTCACAACCAGTACGAGTCTGCTTCCTCTCTTCACAAGCATTTACTTCACTAAAAATGCAGTGGACCACTGCTAGAATGCCAGAAATGGTGGTGGTGGTGGTGGGGGGTGGTTAGCTACCATGAACTCTTTGGTTCATGCTCTGGGCAGTTCTCATGGGCAAGCTGCTCACTTCCCTGACAGGCACTCACAGACAGCCTCTCACCTAGCAGCCACTCTGCAAAGAGCTGACAAACCAGGCAGAAGGGAGAATTTGCCAGAACTGTCACATGCATTCCTCCATGTAATAGAGCCCCAATACCAAAGACACCAAAAACAGTTACTCAGCAATTAGCTAAATGCCCAATGGATAAAAAAAGCATTCTATGTAGGTTAGCTCCTTTTAATAATTCCAGAACTCTCTTGTGCCCCAGTGGCTCCTCCTCCCTGACCCAGACAATATGTCCTTTTTCCACATGAGGACACTGAAGTTCTTTTGATTTGCTCCATCCTCACGCGTTTCACTACTCTGGGCAAAAATGCCTCTGCAGTCCCTACTAAACTACTCTTGCTATTTGTCCAATTGGCTTAGACCCTCCAATTTCTAAACAGTGAAGGGTTTTCTTACCTGATTGCCTTCTTTGAAGCTAAGTCCAAAGTCAATGAGTTTGAAGCATTCATTCTCCGCACTCCACAGTATGTTGCGGGGTTTGAGGTCTGCGTGGACATAACCCTCATGATGAAGGAAAGCAAGGGCTTCCAGAACATCCCTGGCGCAATGCTGTATCATCCACATGGAGCAGCCCTGGTGACTGGAGTACAAAAGCAGTTCCGAAACACTGACATCCAGGAGCTCCAGCAGCAGGCAGCGTGATGGTACGTTTGGGGAGAAGTGGATTGTAAAGACTCCATATAAAGTCACTAGAAATAGAAATGAATTATCGTACTTTAAAAAGTCCCTACAGAGTCGGTAACCCTGCACCACAAACTGGGGCTAGTAACTGCGATGAGCAAGCAAGTTTCCACCGTCATTTGCACCTCCCATGAATACGATCTTTGGGCAACTGACTCGTTTTAATAAGATAAGACATCCTAACACAGCTGATTAGCAAAGACATTAAATATGGCACAATGATCCAAATTTTGTTTCGCTGGGTACTCAGTGGTGGATAAACATGCACAAGCGTGGCAAGTAAAAAAGTAAAAATTATTAAAAAAAAAAATCACCAACGTGCAGAAAACAAAATGATGGCCACTTCTTGATGCAATGCTTAAAGAGATTATTCAACAAGTTCCTTAGCCTGCAAAAACAGTCCCTGCTCGGAATCGATACCAAGGTTATGACACACCATTCTAAGCAAAAAAAGAAAAAGGTAGCACAAGGGTTAAGCAATTATTTCTCCAAAATGGTCATTCTTCAAATTCAATCCGGATTCTACTTGCCAAGAAGGAAGGCGCTTGTTTAGTGACTACAGCTGTAACGAACTGTAAGTTCTCCGCACTGACAACGGGGCAGTCATCGGGAGTATTGTGGATGGTGGCTGTCGTTCTCGAGCACTTAGGAAAGGGATACGCACTGTCCCTAACTTTGACACGACCATAAGGACGCCTATGGATGTGCGGAATCATTGCTTCTAAATGCTACTACACACGCTGAACCACACCAGGTCATCTTGCTGAATTACCAGCACTCACGCTACGACAAACCCTGGCAACATTTCGCATTTTTCTACCGGTGTTCAGATTTAAACATCTGCACACAAGCCAAGCTTTCTTTCACTAGGAGAAGCGATTTTTCTAACCTTAGTAAGGACGATATTCTCCCACGCGAACTGAGGCAAGACTTACTGAGCATCTACTAAGAAAGAGCACCGCGCCGCAGTGAACAAACAAGGGATGGGAAGGGGGCCTGGAGCGAGGGACGAGGACAGCATGCCTGCCGGGACCGGGGCAGAGCAGGAGGGGGCGGCTGCAATTACCGATGTTCCGGTGACCCTGCAACTGCTCCAGCGCCGCTCTCTCTTTGCGGAACCCATACTCGGCGGCCGAGGCCGCAGCCCCGGTGGTTCCTGGCGGCAAGAACTGCTTGAGGGCGCCGGGCGGTGAGCCCGGGGTACCGCAGCAGCGCACCCGATACACCGAGGCCGACGAACCGCTGCCCAGGCGGCTCTGGACCTGCCACAGCCGCCCGAAGGCCTCCAGAAACCGGGGCGGCTCAGCGCCCCAAGCACAGCCGGACCCCGCCATCGCGCTGCGGGCGAAGGGCACTGACGCGGGACCTGTGGCAGCGCCCCAAGCACGCTGGCAGGACCCGCCGTCACATCCCCGCCCGCCCGACCCGCGGCTCCGCAGGGAGGAGCCCGCAGCCACCTCTCCGACTCCCGTGAGCTCAAGCCGCCATGACACCGGAAACCCTACTGCCCCGGGTTCCCCAAAGCCGGAAGTAGAGAGGGAAGCCACGCCCATCCGCTACAGGAGGCGGGCCCAGGGGGGCGGGATCTGGAGGTGATTGGCTGGATTTTGCGGGGCTAGTTTCTGAGCAGCTGCGGTCCCAGTCCCCAAGGATGCGTGAACCTAAAGGTTTGCTCTGGAGCACTAGAAATACATAGAAGTTATTGTTCGGAAAAATATTTCCTCCATAACGCTTTATTCTTTTACGTGTTGCTTTTTCTAAAAGTAAAAAAAACCCGTTTATTTGTTTGAAAGGCTGAGAGAGACATCCTCCACCTGCGGGGTCACTCCTTACGTGCTCACAGCAGCCTGTGTTGAGACAGCAAGACCAGTGCTCGCTTCGGCAGCACATATACTAAAATTGGAACGATACAGAGAAGATTAGAATGGCCCCTGCGCAAGGAGACAGCAAGACCAAAAGACTGTTCAGGTCTGTTATGGGGTGGTGGGAACCCACGAATCGGACCATCCTCTACTGCGTCGTAGATACTTTAGTAGGAAGGCAGATCAGAACAAAACAGCCAGGACTCAAAGCAGGACCCCGCATATGAGACGCAACCTTGGCCACAACCCACCATGCCGCATTTCTGCCTTCTCTTACAATATCATCAATCGTAACTTTCCATTGTTCCACTTGGTAACAAACAAGGTAAGTGAACTAGAATGACAGACTTGACACGACTGCAAATGTGGTACTATCCCCCCCCCCCAAGCGAATGTACCTTAGAATATTTTTTAAAAGCAGAGCAACCCTGTGTTTTGGTGTTTGAGCTCTTGAAGATTCGAATCTTCCAAGAATGAAAGTAATTTCTGTGGTAGCCAATTCAAAACAATCTTGAAAAGATCTTTGTCCCCTAGTATTTACACCCCCCAGGAGTCAGGCCCATCATACAGAAACTTGGGGTCATAACAACTGTTTCTGTAGTTTTAGGTTTTAGAACAGTGTTGCGTAGCAATAAATAATACATTGGAAAATAAACAGTAATTGTTGAAGATTTTAATATTATCACATGTTTGCTCTGTAGGTCAGCAGGTGACAAATAGATTCTAGTTACCACTGAAAAAGTACGTGGTTTACCACACCCGTTATAATATAAGTAGTTATGATTTAAATTTTTCTTCCACATTTTATAAGTGTAAATGATATTTCTATTTTTGAAAACTATGTACAATACAGCTTTTCCTATTTTAAATACGTGCTATTATTTTTTCATCTATCAATTTTCTTGGAAGTTTCTGATCGATTTCCTTGTTCCCTTTAGAAGTTAATTTTTTTCTTTAGATTCCCTCACTTGAGTTGCTTTTTTGGTTAAAGCTGTATCCATTTGCTGGAAAGGCAAAATTAGAGAAAGAGAAGCAGAGAGAAATCTTCCATCTGCTAATTTATCCCCAAAATAAATGGCCCAACAGCCAGAGCTGAGCTTGTCCAAAGCCAGGAACCAGAAACTTCTTGAGAGTCTCCCACGTGGGCACCAGCATTTGGGCCATCTTCTGTTGCTTTCCCAAATGCATTGGCCAGGAGCTGGGTCAGAAAAGTATCCGGGACTCTAACCAGCGTCCATATGGAATGCTGATGTTTCTGTGCCACAGGGCCGGCCCCTGCTTTTCTTTTTTGATCTTCTTTTCCACCTTGCAACAACAGGCTGAGGAATACTAGAGACTCTTGAACTGGCAGTCTCTGAATGGAAGGAATCTACTGCCCTTCCTTAACTCTTTTTTTCTTTTGTGAGCAACACTCCTAGGTTGGCTGAGAGTTCTTATACCAGAATCCATTTCTTCCTAGCATTCTAAATCCCCCTTTCAGGACCCCTTGTGGTATTTTCTTTCTACATCCTTACTGAAGTAGTACTCTATCATAAAATATCCACATCTTTCCAAATCTGTTGTCCATTCTGTTGTCCATGGCAACAGAAGCTCTCACTGGCATTTCCCCTTTAAGTCTAGGGAACCAAGCCTTGGCTGAGAATCAGACTTGACTTCAATTCCCAGCTCTGTTGCTTACTGTCAAGGTGATTGTAAGTCAATTAATGAAACTCTCATGGCCCTAGTTTCCTTGGCTAATTTTAAGATGAAATTAAATATTATTTATAATTAGATAAAATATCTGAAGTAGGTTATATCATGGAGTGCCTAGCTTTCCAAAAGTTCTTGGCAAGATCTGTGAATTTTTATAATTCCATAATAGATGTGGTAAAGCCCTTAAGAGAGTCCATTAGGACAAAATAGGACTTTCTTATCCTTGCCCCTCCTTCATCAACTGAGGAGATGCCACAAATGATTGTATTCTCTGCCACAACCTCCAAGCAGTCCTTCCAGCTTTTCTATCAGCTGGTGGTATCTGAGGGGCCTGGTTTGCATTTCCCTTCTCTGTCCAGGTTTCACACTCTTCCAATAGAGAAGGACAGCACATGGCATAAGAGAGTCATCCTGCGGGCCTTTTTAGAAAAGATAGTCTGGGACAGCATCTCAGGAAGTTCTGTCCTATTTGGACGTTGAGATGTGAAGTTGCAGTGGACGTGGAGGCTGCAGGGACTTGAGAGCTCGGAGAGAACTTTAGAGATCACTTGTATGGGTTCCCTTTTTCTTGCTGCTCTGGAGAAATGCAGTCAGAGAGGTTGCAGGGCCAAGTTACAAAGCTCTGCACAGGGGTAGGGAGGTATTTCTCAAGGCGAAAAGGCCAGCAGAGACACTCCACTCATGGACTGATTCTGGTCCCTCGGCCAAAGTGCACGACGAATCTGTTGTTGCAGGAGCTACACCCCAGAGCCCAGGGAGCAGCCGATGGAGACAGAGACTGGGGTCTGATCACGAGGACACTGCCCTGGGCAAGCACAAGCTAAACTTACAGAGAATGTATTGCGGTCTGTTATATCGTGAGCACACTTTGATTTCTTTAGATAATGTCTCTTTGTGGAAATGGTACATAAACAGCCTACTCTAGCTACCAGCCCTGTGTTACTCTTCTTGGTGGTCTTTTCCTGAGGAACACAGAAAAAAACTAAACAGAGAAGCTCAATTCTTCAGACTATTTTGGGACCAGAAGCCTAAATGTATAAATTCAAGAGATACGAAGGAAGAGAAAGCAACTGTAATGTGCACAGAGGAGCTGGCTAATTATGGCTCTTATAATTTTCATTTCTGTCAAGATAAAATAAGGGAATATGTGTGAAAAGAGCTTGAAATCATGTTCAACAACAAGGAATCATACTGTTTTTCTGTAGAGATGAAATCGTTTGAAATGGAGAAATCACCAACAGATTATGTATGTCTCTATTTAGCTGACATCTGAAAAACAGGTGCCTCCTGTTGTGGACAGGTATCTATGGAAGAAATACGCCACCAGCCACTGACGAAGGCCTACCTGGCCCTGCTGTCAGCTCAGAGACACTGAAGATGCTCATGAGGGAATTGAATGGCTGCACATCTGGAAAGATGGAAAAGATCAGTAGCTTAGGATCATTCATTTATTGGCTCGCTCATTAATTCATGATTTCATTAAATAATGATGAAGAACTTCTCAAATTTCTGGGCAAAACAAAAACTCTCAGTGTGGTGGGGAGATAGACAACAGTAAAGAAATAAAACACAGATGAAGGCTATTGCTTAGAGAAAAGGTCAATGAGCGTCATCCGAGGTGGGAGTGATGAGAGGATGATGTGGATGTGATCCTTGGAACTGGAATGCTCTAGAGGATCCTAGGTTTTTCTTCCAGAATGGCATGATAGCATCTTTGGAAGGGAAGGAGAAGTAGGAGGTGGAGAACTAAGGAAGTTTCACAGAAAAGTGAATTGGCGAGACAAGTTCCAAATGACATTTATCATTATTGAAGCTTAATTTAAGATAGGCTGTTAAACTGTGTTGAATCAGCCCATTGTGCATTTGATACACTGTTGGGGAAGAGGTTGGGGGAGTGTATCGCAACATGTTCTTGTTGGCTGCTCCCAGGAACAATTTGTTCTGGATATTTTGGCTGGGAACTATCAAATCAGCATGTTATCAGTATCTCTAACAATGTATGGAAAAGTACACTCTAGTCTTCCTCCCCAACTTGCTTTTCCAGAGCCTTCCCCATCTCAGTTAATGCAAACTGTCTTTCCACATGCTTGACCAAAGTCCCCGAAGTCATCCTAGACCCTTATCCTCAGACTCCAAGTGATTATTTTTTTAGCACTTTCCCAGCTACCAACTTGTTCCAAACCTCCATCATCTCCAATCTGTAGGACCACAGTAGCCTTCCAAGTGGTCTTCTTGCTTCCATATCTGTCACCTATGGTCTACTCTCAACACTTGTAGCTGGAGTGTTCTACTTCCAGCAGAAGCCAGAGTTAAAATCAGATTCTGTAAAATGCATTGTAAACCTGGCTGTGATAGACCCTTCTGCTTCTCTGATCTCATGTCCTCCCACGTGTTTCCCTCCTACCCTTCCCACCATACACTGTGGTCCTTGCACTCTGGCTTCTTGATGGTTCCTCAAGCAGATCAAGCAACTGCCTTTCTTGAGAAGGACATCTCCGGTTCCTAGGACAGTCTTTGCTCCGATATCCACATGCTCTCTTTTGATCCCTTTCTGATTCCTGCTGAAGCTCATCCTGAACATTCACATAAAAGACCAGTATCCCTTATTTTGATTTCACTTTTATTCATAACATTTTTTATCTTACGTACTACACATTTATTTTGGTGTTTGATTCTCAGGTAGGTATTTGACATAGCAGTCAAATGCCTCATGGGACACCCACGTGGACGTCAGAGATCCTGGGCACTCCTCACTCTACCTTCCTGATAGTGGTCTCCTTGGGAGGCATCAGGTGGTGGCTTAAGCAGCTAAGTCCCTGCTACACACACGGAGGAACTAGATTTGATTCTAGGCTTCTGGCTTCTGCCTGGCCCAGTCCTACTTGTTGGAAACTTTTGGGGAGTGAATCAGCAGTTGGGAAATGTCTTTCCTTTTCCTCCTCCTTCTCCCTTTTTAATAAAAATAATAAAAATGAACAAGTTTGATTTTGAGCTGTTCATCACTGTATTTTCAGTGACTGGAGTAATGCCTGGAGCAGCTGAGGAGATTAAAAAAACTTGGCAGTAAAATGGTTTGAAAATGAAATATATTTCTGTGCCAAAGAGTTGAAACCTGTACATAAGTTTTTAAAAATATATTTATTTATTTTTATTACAAAGTCAGATATAGAGAGAGGAGGAGAGATAGAGAGGAAGATCTTGCATTTGATGATTCATTCCCCAATGACCACCATGGCCAGAACTGCGCCAATCCGAAGCTGGGAACCAGGAACCTCTTCCAGGTATCCCACGCAGGTGCAATCCTCGACTGCTTTCTAAGGCCACAAGCAGGGAGCTGGATGGGAAGTGGAGCTGCCGGGATTAGAACCAGCACCCATATGGGATCCCAGCGCATTCAAGGCGAGGACTTTAGCTGCTAGG